CTGGAGGAGGAGGACAGTGGAAAGCACAGGTGGGGCTAGAGATGAGAAAAGATCCAGTGGAAAATTAAGTTGCATGACAGGCCAAAGAGGGTGCCCTTTAACTAGTCTCTCTACTTTCGTGCTGGAAATTTATGTAACAAAATGTTAAAAAAAAAAAAAAACAACCCAATAAGTTACCTACTTCCATTTAAAAAACAACTATATTTAACCCTCAGCGTTAGAGCGATGCCCATTAAAAAGAGAACACAATCAAGAATGTCACTTCCACTGTGAAAATGATAGCCAACACAATCCACATGCAAGGAAATATCTGGTTAAAAATATTGGCAAGGAAGAGATGAAATAATTATCTGTAGATGATTGTCTCACTAGAAAAGCCAAGAGTATCAAAGGAAATACAATAAAAATTCCTAACATTTCAGGGGTGCCAGGGTGGCTCAGTCAGTTAAGCATCTACCTTCAGCTCAGGTCATGACCTTGGGGTCCAGGGATTGAGCCCCGTGTTGGGCTCTCTGCTAAGCAGGGAGTCTGCCTCTCTCTCTCTCTCTCTCACTTTCTCTCTCACGTGCGTGCACGTTCATGCTCTCAAATAGATAAGTAAAAATCTTTAAAAGAATAAAAAATCAACCACAATAACCAATCATAAGAAATTGGGGGGGGGTAGAGATTACATTTCAAATAGCAATAATTTGTTGTTAGAAGTTATGTGAAGAAAACTACAGGAGTATTTTGACAGTAATAAAAAAGAAAACCTTTAAAATGCCATATTTTCATACACCAGGGCTCCAATTATCAGCTTCTCCCTGGTGGGGTGGAAATAAACATCACTGTTTTCTCACAGGGTGATTGCGCCAATTAACGAGATGTTAAGGTGTTTAACAAAGGGCCAAGAACCTTTATTTATTCAAAACAAACCAAGTATTTATTGAGCATCTATTATGTGCTAGGTACCTTAGGATGCTGGGGATAGGGCACTAATCAAGGTGGATACAAATCCTTTCCCTCATGGAGTTGACAGTCTAGTGGTGAAGGCAGGTAACAGACCAAATAAATACCTACAACATATGATTATGCTAGTGAAAAGTTCTCTAGAGAATAAAGATGAGGGAAGCAGGGAGTACGTGGGGAGTGAAGGGTTTGTTTGCGAGCTTTCAATGGTTGATGGGGGAATGCCTCATGAGAAGGTGACGTCTACCTAAAGACTTAGATGGCTGGAATCCAGGGGAATCCTCAAAGTAAGAGCCTGCCGGCAGCATGAATAACACATGCAAAGGTCCCAAGGTGGGAGCCTAAGGGAGGTGCTGGAGAAGGTGGAAAGGCCAGCGTGGCTGGAACTGAGAGAGCAAAATGGTCAGATGAGGCAAAAAGCGAAGGGGAGGGATAGAGAACAGATCCTTAAAGCCTTATACGCAGAGAAAGAACTCAATTTAAAAAAACGAAAGGATTCTTGCTATTTTACCATCATGAGGTACAAAAACATATCAGCAAGTCAGATTCTTGAAGGACTTGACAGGAGCTCCCTGCACTGTGTAGCGGGCTTGTAGCCACTATCTTTGGGCTCGAGGACCAAAAAGGAAACTGCGCGCGCGAAGCGTCTGACAAAGCAGTGGGCGCCCGGGAGGGGTCCCCGCCCTTCCATCGGATCCCGTTTTCACGGCCCCTCCTGGGCGTTCAGCCGGTCCCAGGCCAGCCTTTCCCAAGTTAGCCACTGCCTACGCATCGGGGCCCAGACCTGGCCCTCCAGGTCCTGCTCCTTGTCTCGGCGCCCCGCAAAAACTCGGGAACACAACCGTCACAGCCCCCAGCAGCTACCCCAACCCGGCGCGTCTGGCCGTAATCCCCAGGCTCGCCTCCGGGAGGAGCTAGACTCCCGCCTAATCGCCGCTGGCGCCGCTGAGGCTTCTGGGAATTGTAGTCCCGGCTCGCCGAGCTCCAAACGCACTTCCGGGTTCGGCCAGAACCGCAGCCATTGTCCCGCGCGCGCTGGCGCCTGCAGTCGCCGCGTGCCTGGGGTCGAACATTAGTCGAGCGGCCCTGCGGATGCCGACTAGGGGAGGGGGGCCGAACTAACTTAACCCGAGTCTGTAGTGTGCAGAATCGGCGCCGGGGGTTGTTTAACCCGACCTCGTCCTGCCGCAGAGCCGTGCCGGGCCCTGAAGCTGGGACAGGCCCGGCCTCGGCCGCGAGCCCGTGGACGCCCAGGTCGGTGAGGGGCGGGGCGGCGCTGGGTGTCCCGTGCGCGCATGCGCAGGGTGTAGGCGGGAAGCGGGTTGGGAGTGTTGGGTGGGCGATCTGGTACCTTCGCGGGCGGCGCTTTAGCCTTGCGTCCCCGAAGTAGGTGGAGATACTGGTGCAGCTGCAGATTCGGGACCGAGGGCCTGCGCGAGTGCTTGATCGGGTAGTGCTCTTGTCCCAGGCCTGAGAATGCCCAGGTTGGTGAAGACAGGCCATACGCTGGGATGTGGGGAGATCCTGAGAACCCCGCCTTCCCCTCCACCAGTGCTAGGCCGGTTTAGTGCAGGCTCAGAGGACTGAAGCCCGGTTTGATGGACTACTCAACAGCAGATTTGGAGGAGAGGGGCTCTGCCACTATCCCTGTATTTTGAGCAGACGTTTGAGTAGGAAGCTTGGAGTGGGAGGTGAGATTCTGGGCGATTGGCTTGGGGACCCGAGGGGCGCCCTAGGTAGTGGAGAGACCAGGTTTGAGCTGCTGATTCTTGCTCCAGAAGAGGCAGTGCTGCTTGAGCGAACCCTCTGAGAATCGTTGATGGGCTGCAGACTCCTAGGTTGAAGGAGGGACCAGGGCCGGGAGGTGGGTTCTAGGCAGACCGCTCCCTGCACGTGCTGGGGGTGTTTGAATGGGAAGCAAGAATTTGGACTGGTAATCCTGGAATAGCGCAAGGCGCTAGGGCATTCAGGTTTGGTGGAGACTTTGGGTTAGAGGTGCAGAATTGGCGTCCAGGAAGAACAGAGCTGCAGCATCTGCATGAAATTGACAGCTCTTTGGTAAGGAAGCAGGGTGCTGCGAGCATGCTCTCCAAGTAGGCATTCTCAGGACCTTGCTCAGGGTCTGCTCTGCTTGCAGGCACGAGAATGCCCAGGGACAGAGGGACAGAGGCTGGGCTGCATATTTGGACCTGGAGGGGGCTGTACTCTGTGGCATTCAGGGGCTCACATTTGTACTGGAGGAAGCAAAAGGGCCTGGTTCCCATGGGAGCTGCTCTATCATGAGCTTGAGAACCCCCAGATGGTGAGTGCTCAAGTCCCGGGGCTGACTTTGGAATTCTTTGCTCAAGCTACTGTTTGGGTGTTCTGATATTCTGGTGTGTGAGCAGGCAGTGGGGCAGGTGACCCTAGAATCCTCCAGAGGCTTGTGGGTACTTGAGGTATCTCGGGTATTGAGGTGCAGAGTGGGAGATGCAGCTTCTCATCTCAGGAGCAGGGGCTGCACAGTACTCTCGGGGTGGTGGAAGGCCCAGGTCCTGGGTGCAGATTCTGGGAGTGGGCCTGCTCTGTGTTGTGCCAGCAGGAGGAGGGAACCTAGATGGGCGGCCTGGGGCAGTCGCTGCTGGAGCTGCAGGTTCTGGTCTTGGGACACCTGGCATTTGGGCAGAATGGGGAGGCATGGGCAGTCCTAGGACCCTGGTACTGCCTGAGGATGCCCAAATGAGTGGAGGGAGCACCTGCAGATTCGGGGCTATGGAGGATTAGGGCTGCTCCATGTCCCCTTGTGCTCACACACTGGTATTTGCATGGGAAAGAGGAGGCTGGAGGTGGGAAATAGAGGGTACTGGGGGTCTTTGTGCAGAGGGTGCATTAATCACAGCCTGGCGGTACCCAGGCTGGTGGGAAGACAGGATCTCCCTAAGCAGCAGGTGCCCAGAAGGACGTTTGGGCAGGTGTGGCTCAAGTAGGGGCCTGCGGATGTTGGTGGAGGAAATGGTGTGTGTGCAAGTTCAGGACACAGCTGCATTGGGAACCCACACTGTACTGTTGGAGTGAGAATCCGGTGGGGGTAAGGCGGTGTGGATAAGAGAGAGAAGATGGGGTAGGGTTGGTAAGATGGTGTGTGGGCTCGGATTTGCCAGGGGCTGTTCTAGTCTCAGACCCAGAAATATTGAGCCGGCACAAAGACAGCCGAGGTCCACATTCTGGGCCTCAGAGCGGGTGGCACATGCTGGAGTTTGTCAGGAAGCTCCCAGGCCCACGCCGGCTCTGTTGCTGATTCAGGCCTGAGGATACCCATGTTGGTGGAGGGACCAGGTCTGAGCTACATGTTCGGGGCTCAGGAGAGTTTGGGGCTGGGGATCCGGCTGGTGCTGTTCTGGTAGGGGCCAGTAGACCGCAGGATGGTGCAGCCAAGCTCCATGAATATGCTTGGTTATTTGAGCAGGAAGTGGGAGGTGATTCATGACCGGTTGCGAGAGGGTCAGGCCAGGTTAATGGAGGGGTCGGATCCTGGGAGGGGTGGGGCTGTGTCATGAGCTTCATGCATTCAGTCAGGGAGTGTGATTCTGGGTGGTCAATCCCAGAAGCCCAGCTCCTTGCCCAAGGAAGGGGTGCTGGTTTAGGGCTGCAGATTCAGGTCATGGTGGGGGAGGAGTGCACACTAGGGGGTCCTCAGTGTGCTGGGCATTTGTGAGGATTCCACAGCCCAGTGGGGCAGGGAGGGACTGACGTGTACTGCAGATTTTGGTGGTGGGCAGAAGACTTTGTTTGGGCATGACTTATAGTTAGGGAGTCCAGAGGCCTGTGATAGTAGTGGGGGGTACCCGTTTGTACCAGAGCTGCAGAGTCTTGGCCTGGGAGAGGGACTGAGGGACTCTACGTGCATGCACAGCTTTTCAGGTAGAAACCTCTAGAGGCAAGCTTGCCACGGGGAATGCATCCTGGAAGTGGAGACTAATCAGGGAGTGGGGCGCCACGGTCGACCTGCGCCAGGTTACTCTTCTAAGGGCTTCTACCCTTGCAGCTCAGGACCCTCAGGCCTCTGCCTGTGCCTGGAGGAGAGCATGGAAGAGCAGGATAAGAAGCCCCCAGAGCCCCTGAAGACCTGTGCACAGGTGAGTGGAACTTTCCTTCCTCGAGGAGACCCAGAGCTTAGAGCTTGCTCCCCACCCCACCCCACCCCACCCCTGGCCCCACAGCCCAACCCTCCAGGCTTGGGAGCTGACCTGGCTCTCTTTGCAGTGTTTTGGGGGCTTTTGGTCTCCCCTGACTTGAGACACTCTACATTTTAGGAGGCTCCCTGCATTTCCTCACCATTTTAACCCAGATAATTCTTCCCGGGAGGAGTTTCGCACCCTGTATGAGTACTGATTGCCCTGGGGCAGCAACTCCCAGTTTTGCTTGGGAACGAGCAATTGGAAAAAATTGTTTGAGAATGGGCCATGCAGGAGAAATGTTAAAGAGTTATGGGGAGACCATGAAATGGAATATGCTGTGGACATTGATGTGAGAATGCGTATTTCCCAACATACAAAGATATGTAGGATCTATGTTAAGTAAATAACGTTTAGAAACGATCATCTTTTTTTTTTTTTTTAAAGATTATTTATTTAGAGAGAGGGAGAGAGAGAATCCCAGGCAGACTCTGCTGAGTGTGGAGCCCAACATGGGGCTTGATCTCATGACCATGAGATCATGACCCAAGCTGAAACCAAGAATCAGATGCTTAACTGACTGTACCACCCAAGTTCCCCCAGGAATGATCATCTTTTTAAAAAGGGATGTAGTTTGTGTGTGTATAGAAAATGTGTTAGAAGAGTATAAATATGCCAGTTAACAAAGATTATGTGCAAGTTACATCCCGAGTGACTTTATGTTTTCATTTCTTGTCTATCGTTTTCTGCTTCTGTATAGCACATTTTAAGGTTAAGAAATCAACAATTTAAAACATTTTCCTATGACAAATATTCTTTGAAAACATTTAACTTCTTAAAAATGTTCAGTTAGAATTTCACTCCCCCTTCCTAAACAGTTCAATCCTGAAGCCATTAGGTGGGTCACAGCTGGGTAGGGGTCTGTGGTTGAGGGAGGGCTCTGTCCTGTGGGGTGAGGAGGGTGTCCATGTGTGGGGGCATCAGTGACCAAACAGGGTGAGGAAGGTGGCATTGAGAGTCAGAGCCCAAGTGGGGTGAGGTGAGTGTCCGTCTGGTGGGGTGGGGGGATCTGCTTTGGGGTGAGAGAGCCAGAGCAGGTGAGAAGGGCGTCCACAGAGGGGACAGCCCAAGTGCAGTCAGTCCATGCAAAGGGTGACCCATGTGGTGTAAGATGCTGGGGTTGGGGGCACCTCTCGGTGTGGTGCGTCACAACTGAAGCAGGTTGAGGTTATCAACGCTTGAGGGAAGCCCAGCGTGGGGTATGACAGCCCGAGCCCAGGCCAGAAGTCGAGGTCATCCATGTGGAGTCCAAGTCCAAACGGCATGAGAGTGAGTCCCTAAGAAGAGGCCACCTGCCTGCAGAGTCAGAGCCTGAGGAGGGTGAGGAGGGTGAGGAGGGCCAAGTCCAGGGGGGCCCAGGAGCATCTGTGTGGGAGAGGGAGTGGCAGCGGGGATGGGGGATGAGTTACCCACAGGGGCGTGGGCTGGCCAGGTGAGTAAATATCATAAGGCTCATGGAAGCCGGGGTTCGCACAATCAGATGTGGCTAGAGCAACAGTGGAATGCACTTCAGTGTTCAGTGGGGATTGTAGGTATTGATGTGGCTCGTGGTTTTCGTATGATCCTGTTTCTCTCCACTGTCAGGGCCTGGGAACAGTGACATTCTGATACCAATATGCACGCCTGGCACCCAGATTTCCGCAGAAATAACCCCAGAATTTATGGGCTTACTGTTAATAGATATTTAGTGTCCCGTGCTTTGCTGTTACAAATAGCACTTTTGTAAATGTTTTTGTGTATGATTCTCTGTTCAGTTGACCCTCGAACAAGGCAGGGGTTAGGGACACCTACCCTCTTGTATAGTTGAAAATCCATGTGTAACTTTTGACTTCCCCAAAATTTAACTACTAAGAGTGCGAGAGTTTTAGAGGGAGTTATGCATTTAAATTTAGATAAGTACATTCACACTTTGTCAAAACTACAAGTAAAGTGCGCTTTGATTGTGACCATTGGCATTCTACTTTAAGCCAGTGACCGGGTATTTTTCTGGAACCTTCATAGTCCTTTTGCCATTTTTTTCTCTGTTACATGAGTGAACTAGCAATCTGTTCATTATAATTTTTACCTTCATCACATAGTCATTGATTGCCTAGCCAGTGTAAGGCCCCATGTGAGGTGCTAGGGAGAAAGCTGACCTAGTCCTCAGACGCGAATGCGCTTCTTGTATATTCCAAGGCTACGCAGGAAAAGCAGAAACATCTTCCTTCTTGTATTAGTCATCTGTGGTTTCATACCCCAAAACTCAGCAGCTTAAAACAACCAAAATTTTCGATCGCACACAGTTTCTCAGGGTCAGGAACCTGGGAGCAGCTTCTCTGGATGTTTCTGGTGCTCAGCGTCTCTGACAAGGTTGTCGGCCTGGGCTGCTCTCTTCAGAAGGCTTGACTGGGTAGGAGGACCCCCTTGCCAGCTCACTCACATGGCTGTTGACGAGAGGCCTTAGTTCCACACCACACAGACCTGTCCCCAGGGCTGCTGGTTTCTCCTGGAGCAAAGGACCTGAGAAAGAGAGAGAGGAGAGAGAGAGTGCTTAATTGCACACAGCCAAGATGGAAACCACAGTGTCTTTTACCATCTGATCTCAGAAGTGACACAGCATCACTTTTTCTTTTTTTAAAGATTTATTTGTATGAGAGAGAGAGAAAGAGCATGAGTGGGGGTGGGGGTGGGGAGGAGCAGAGGGAGAAGCAGACTCCCCACTGAGCAGGGAGCCTGACGTGGGGCTCGATCTGAGGACCCTGAGATCATGACCTGAGCCGAAGGCAGACGCTTAACCGACTGAGCCACCCAGGCGTCCCAGCATCACTTCTTCTGTAATCTGTCAGTCACACAGACCCACTGGTATCATGTGGGCAAGGACTACATAGGGTGTAAATTCCAGGAGGGTGGGGGCCATTGGGGGCCATCTTAGAGGCTGGCTGGCACACTTCTCAACTCTGAGTGTCCTCTAGTAAGTTTTAATCATTATCAGAAGATGCACAAGTACTTTGTTTGGGCCTGATGGATACCAGTTAAAGCCCCAGCAGGAAGAGAAATCAGGGGAGCCCAAGTCTTGGCGCTAAGTGAGGGAGGTGAGTCCAGTGAGCCAGCCTGCTGGACATCACCTGAGAGATTTTAATCTCTCACATATTGGTAGTAGCTGGGCCAGGGAAGGCCCTGCCTGCCGTCAGGGGCTGAGACCAGAACCCTGCCACGCGGGTGGTAGAGCCTCATCTGTCCCCTGTCAGTCTCAACATGCAGAATTGATCTTAAATGTTCTCATCATAACCCCCCCCAAAAAAAATCGTAACTGTGTGAGGTGCTGGACACGTTAATTAGCTTGATTGTGATACTCATTTCATAGTGTCCACATATCTAAAAAAAATCATTGTTGTTCACCTTAAATAATAGATAGTTTTTGTCAAGCATACCTCAGTAAAGCTGTAAATAAATAGTTAATAGTGAAAAAAAATAAAAGGCTTTTAATTCCATTCATATTCCCCAAACCCTGCCCATATGTCTAATCCTGTCAAATTCTGATAACTCACATTGTGCTCCTACTCAATACTGAGGTACAAAGATGAAAAATAGTTCTTTACAGCACCCAGCTCGTGACCCAGGGGAGAGGTGTAGAAATGGAAGCAATAATACAAGGAGAGAGTGATTTTACTGTTACAGTAAAGATAAAAGAGCTAAGAAATCCTAAGGGAAGAAGAGACTGTGTACTGTCCAGGAATGCTTCCTGGAAGAGGTGGCCTGAATGATGAGAGTTTGAGCCATGGGGCAGAGGAAAGGGGCAGAGTTTGGATCAGGCAATTGGCGCTTGGACCATCTCTGGTGAACTTCATGGACTTAAAAAGTTTGCTAAACATTATTACCATTAATCTCTGCTTTGGTGAAAGAGACATACTACTCCTCCCTTCAAAAATGTTTAGATAATTGGGGCACCTGGTGGGGGGGCTTAGTCATTAAGTGTCTGACTCTTGATTCAGCTCAGGTTATGATCTCAGGGTGCTGGGATCGAACCCTGTGTCAGGCTCCACGCTCACTGGGGAGTCTGCTTGAGGATTTTCTCTCTCTCTCCCTCCCTCTCCCTCTGCCCCTCCCCCTGTGTGCGCGCTCTCTCTCTCTCTCAGATAAATAAATAAATCTTTTTTTTTTATTTATTTGAGAGAGCGAGAATGAGAGAGAGTACACGAGAGGGGGTTGGGTCAGAGGGAGAAGCAGGCTCCTTGCTGAGCAGGGAGCCCGATGTGGGACTCGATCCCGGAACTCCGGGACCATGACCTGAGCCGAAGGCAGTCGCTTAACCAACTGAGTCACCCAGGCGCCCAATAAATAAATCTTTTTTAAAAAATTTATGAGATGTTCTATGTTGAATACTCTGTGGTTGTTGAAACATGCCTGGCAGGTGACCGGTGACATTATCTGGAGGAAACTGCAGCAGCTAAGATACAAATACAGGGGACGTTCCTAAAATAGTAATCCAGTGTGGGTGGGTGTTCACACACTTTATGACAAGGTGGTTTTTGAACATTTAGTTTGAATAAGTCAGTAGGAGTAGGTTCTGGAGGCTGGTGCTTTGAATTTTAGAGGAACAAGGGTGCCCATCAGAGGTTTCTTCTAACCAGCAGAGCAGCTGGGATCTCTGCAGTGATTTGGTGCCTCCCGGGACCACGTTCCATGTACCTTCTCTCGGTGGTGGTTTTATTGTCCGCATGCGTGTACGAAGTGCCCACTCTGTGTCAGTACTGATTTAAGCACAGTGAAGCCGTGTTGAACAGGAAACAAGAGCCCAGCTCTTACAGAGCCCGCTCTAGTGGAAGTGGACAAAACCCAGAGGTGTGAGGACATGGTGATGCAAAGGAGCGAAAGCAGGGGACAGGGATGGCTTCGGCTGCTTGGGTGGGGGCGGGAAAGGACATTGAGGCAGAATTGACTCTGAGCAGACTGGTCTCCCTTTTGTTTTTCTTCCGAAGAGAACTTTTAACTCAAAAGGTGTTGGAAACAGTCTTGATGAAAGAGAAGGTGCACCCATATTCCCCAAGTAAGATTGTCTCAGCAGTCATAGCAGACAAGAAACATGCTGGAGTTTGGTTTCTACCAAGTACCCGCTGAGTTAGAAACATTAGCTTGTTCAGTTCTTGGCGTCATTTCTTATCTCAGCTGTTTCAAGACAAAACACAGCAACAACAACAAAACCCAGAAAGAGGATAATAATTTAAAATACAGTCTAGTGTTTGTAAGTTTCCCTTTTTTGAAAAATTCTCATTTCCTTGGGCATTTGTTTATTTATATTACAGGATGCGTTAACTTCTGGCTCTTACATCATTAGAATTTAACGTCAACCACTTTTGTAGCAAGGGAAGACTTGTTTGGCGTTGTTGCACATCAGGAATGTGATTTCTCTCCGCAGCCGAGTTCCCGTGATACACGAGTCAAAACTTGGTGGCTCCCCTGGATCATCTGTTTTGAAGTTTTGAAATTGTTATTGTGGCCTTGTGAGTGTGGTTTCTTCGTTCGTTTGGCACCTGGAGCTCTTTAGCAATGCCCACGTGGCCACTGTAAGGTGGATGAACCATCCTGCTGTTTATGCTGGGCAGTAACACAGGCAGATTAGCAGCTGAACTTTCTGCTCGGGCCTTCTTTTTTTTTTTTTTTTTTTTTTTAAAGATTTTATTTATTTATTTGACAGAGACACAGCGAGAGAGGGAACACAAGCAGGGGGAGTGGGAGAGGGAGAAGCAGGCTCCCCGTAGCGGGGAGCCCGATGTGGGGCTTGATCCCAGGACCCTGGGATCCTGACCTGAGTCGAAAGCAGATGCTTAATGACCGAGCCACCCAGGCGCCCCTCCTCGGGCCTTCTTTACATTGAGGCAGCTCCAGCACACAGAGGAGGGAAGGAGAGGGGGAAAGGAGGGGGAGAGGGAGGGAGAGCTTGGGCATGTGGGTGCAGCCCTGCAGGAAGGTTGTAGCAACGTAAACCCCCGCTGATGGGGTATGATGCTCTTGACTGGCCGGCCACCAGGGTGGGAGTCCTTAGCAACAAGCAGAAGAAACAGTCCACGCAGTTGGGATTTTGGTTACATAGAGCGGTCTGAGCAAATAAGTAAATAGAAAGAGGATAATGGGAGCTGGTTAAGGCACAAAAACGGAAAGCAGGAAGGCTGGAATAAAATGCGCTGTTGAACGGTCATTGGAGGCATCAGTGTGAACTGATAGCCTCTAATAGAGAGAGATAGGTAGTTACAGAAATAGAGCTTTGATATTATCTGACTTAAAGAGGTGAGCATCTTTTGGTGTATTCACTGGCCATTTTATTTCTTCATGGTTGAGTTGCATGTGCATATCCCTTTGTCCCTTGTACTGTTAAAGGTACCTTTTTCTTACTGATTTAGACCAAGTCTTAATAGTATGGATTCTTGTTGATGGTGCCTTTGTTGTGTGTGGTGGCTTTCTGCCAAACGTTTTATGAAGTTACATTTTGGACCTTTTCTCTTCATGATTCTTTGGTCATGCTGTGTTCTTTTTTATTTTCTTATAATTCTGTGATCCAGGAATTCCGACAACATGGTTGTACAGTTCTTTTTGCCCACATTGTGTCGAGTCACTCAGTTTCATGTAACTGGTAGCTGGGCTGGCCTAGAAGATCCACAAGGACCTCATGCCCATGTCCAGTGCCTCATTGCCCCTTCGGATGTCCCTTGTCTCTCCACATGGCTAGCTTGAGCTTACCAATGGGAGGAAGCAGAAGTACTGTAGGTGGGATGTGTTAAAACAGGTGGTTTTTCAAATCCTAGCCTACTCACAGTGGGAGTTTTGCATCACAACTTAGCTTCCTGGTTATTTTCCTTTTCCTCATCTGTTTTGCTTTCTCAGGACTCTCTCCTTCCTCCAGAGATTATCGTCAAGGTCGAGAGAGAAGATGCTGGGTCCCTGGCCCTTCCATCCCAGGTGAGTTGGCCTCTCTCCATAGAGAAATGTGCATAGCCACTTGGCAGCAGGGACTAGCTTGAAGTGAGCCGGGAGGTGAGCAGAAAGGGAGGAAACGGAGGTACAAGTGGACAGCTTTTACAAAAACGTGGTCAGTTCTCATGCTAAAGATTGAAGAGAGTGATGGCTGCAAGGAGGTTTGAAGTTGAGGGCTTTTTTTTTTTTTCCTCCCTTTAAAGGATTGAAAAGATTTGACTCTATTTCAGTGGTTGCAGAAAGACGTAAGTGGAGAGAGGAGTTAAAACGACAAAGCAGAGTGCTTGATTAGCACCAGAGGAAATCTTTCAGGTGAACGTGTTGGCTCTGCCGAGGAGGGAGGACCCCCACCCGTACAGGAAGAATGAGGGTGAGGGAATTCTTGGAATGCTCGGATTCTTCTCTGGGAGCAGTCAGGTGGTTATCTGTTCAGCATGGGACTGGGAATTGGAATGGAGAGGTGCTTGACACGGGTGGAGAGGGCTGAAAAACAGTACTATTGGATTATGAGAGACAAGCAGCTCCAGGAGGTGTAACAGGGTTGCTGGTCAGTCCGAAAAGATCATTCCAGGTAGTGACCACTGACAGTACTCTATATAGCTGCTCTTGGGAGTTTTCTTTCCCAGTGGCATTCCGGAACCTACTTTCTGTAGATCGTAGATTGACATTCAGGTTCGTTCTTGTAGCCGGGTACATTCAGTGAAAAGCCCCATAGGGCAAGGTACTATTTGAAAGAGGATTTTTGAATAGAACAAATAGAAAGATTAAAATGAACGATCTAATTACTCTAAACGGAATAATTAAGATGGAAAAGATAAGAGGGGCATTAAATGGGAAGGAAAAGAATACAGACCAGTGGATAGTAATGGCAGATACTTGAGTTGAGTAATGGCCCCAAACCATAAGGGATGAGACGAGTAAGGGAGAGCAATCTGATGTTGTAGAGCATTCTGTCTGTGTGACTTGAGAGGTGGAGTACTTTCTGATGATTTCAAGGTCTGGGGTCTCACCATAAGAGCAGGGTGCTGAGGAGCAATTCTAGGGGCTGGGAGTTGGGCTAGCGCTAGGCATTGATGACTGAGAACGCATGTTAGGCGAAGTTGGAGGCTGCATCCCAGCCACTGACTTCAGACATATGTGTTAATTTCTCCTTCTAGCTCTTCATCTGAAAAAAAGAAAAAAAAGGTGCTGCTACTAGTATTTTCTCTCAGGACCATGTGAGAATTCAGTGAATGATAGTTCATGCAACATGCTTAGCTCACAGACTGATAGCACACAGAAAGTGCCTCATTAAAGTCAGTTTTAGGGGCTTCTGGATGGGGCAGTCAGTTAAGCATTTGACTCTTGGCTTCAGCTCAGGTCCTGATCTCAGGGTCATGAGATCGAGCCCTGCGTTGGGTTCTGTGCTCAGCACGGAGTCTGCTTAAAATTCTATCTCCCTTTCCCTCTACCCCTCCCCTCTAAAATAAGTAAATCTTTAAAAAAATTAAAAAGTCAATTAGTTTTATATTATTATCAGAGAACTCTACAAACGGATGCTAGAGACAGTGCAAGACAAGACAAGTTCTTAAAGTAGAGGATGCGTCCGAGGTATTATACATTTCCCATGGATTGGGGTTAGTGTTCAGGTGGTTGGTAGGACAAAGGTCCAAGAGGTAAGGTAAATGGCGTGAGTTTCAGTGTAACTGGGAGGACACACACCCTCCCCCTTTGATGCTGAGCGACTGTGAGCCCGTGGGGCCTGCAGAGGAGGAGGTCACTGGGGGGAAATGTAGGTTTCCTTTAACATGAGGATATAGAGGGAATATTTGGTGATGATGTTGAAGCTGTAGGGTTTCGTTATTTAGAAGAAGAGTGCCCAAGGACAAAGTTGAAGGGTCTGGGAAGGAATTTTGAGGAGTGGGGAGTTGGGGCAGGTGAGAAGGATAGAATAAATGAAGATAAAAGTGGAGAAAAACCAGTGTCCACACATTGAAGGGACTTTTCAGATAGGTGTGTGATAGGCCTCTGAGATTCAGGTGAGAGAGAGGACTTAAATCAGAATTTGGACCAAAAATCAGATTATTTTGATATATTACGAAGTCTGTTGATACTATGGATTCACTCATTGAAATCATTTGCCAAATATGTATATTTCATAACTACTGTACACCAATACTATGCTAAGCACTGGAGTTAATAGTTACAAATGGTCACCACCTTACCCCTGCCCTCATGGATTGCAGCCTAGTGACAAAGATGACCATTATGCAAATGAACAGAACGTGTGGTGAGTCTTAGGATAGAAATCCATGGAACTTTCAGAACATATAGCTGGGGGTGGAGTCGGAGGGAGGGGTACTAATCTAGTTCGGTATTATTTATTTGACATTTGAATAAGCCAGATATATTTTTTAATGTTTTATTTATTTATTAGAGAGAGAGCGAGGACAAGCGGGGGGAGGGGCGGAGGGACAAGGAGACTCCCTCCTGAACAGGGAGCCTGATGCAGGGCCCGAACCCAGGACCCCGAGATCATGACCTGAGCTGAAGTCAGACACTTAACCTACTGAGCCACCCAGGCGCCCCTGGACAAGCTTGATATTAAAGGGACCTGCGTTAAACAGTGAAGGGGAGTGTTTATGAAAAGGAAGTAGGAATTGGAGCTTGAAAAACAGTACCTGTAGATCCATGTTCAACATAGGTGGTAGTGTGCAAATGATATTTCTGAATCCCATTTTGCGCTAATCATGAAAACTTCTGAGGTTTCGGTGAAATTTATGGGCCCCAACTTAGAAAAATGCAGGTACAGCAGCATTTTGCATGGACTTAACGTGGGACTCAGGGACTTTGTCCTGTTCATGCACCACAGCTCAGGAACACCAGGTCTACTTAAAAAGCCTTTAGTGACAAGTGGCATTCCACTTTCCCAGCCTTTGCTGCCTTTGGGTAAGGACAGATCACCCTCAGCACTTTATTGGATCAAAATTCCTGCCCAGTAGTCTTGGAAACGGATCCTTTCTTGCTGAGAGGAGGCAGTCCAGGAGACCCCCTCTGCATGACAGTAGTGACAGTGTGTCTCCTGAAGGCTTTACAATGCAGCTCTGAGTGTGGACAAAATGGAACTGTCCTCTCAAGCCTGAGAGTTCAAGATAAAGGTCACATTGGCTGTCACTTAATTTTTCAGAGTTCTCAGATCTAATAATCCTTTCTTAAAGTTTCCTCACTTACATACAACACCCAGCGCTCATCATAACAAGTGCCTTCCTTGATATCCATCACCCTTCGATCCCATTTGCCAGCGTTTGTCTTTTTGTTCAGTGAATTGCTAATAGCTTTACATATATCATACAATAAATTCACCAAAGAACCCAATGAGTTGGGTATGATTAAGCCTAATAAACACAAGTGGGATAAACTCACCTTAGAAGACAGATGGTCAGATTAGATATATATATTTTTAAAATTCAGACCTTTGCTTTTTTTTTTTTTTTAGATTTTTAAGAAAATTTATTTAAGAGAGAGAGCATGAGCCAGGGGCGGGGGGAGGGGCGGAGGGAGAAGCAGACTCCCCGCTGAGCCCAAAGTGGGGCTCCATCCCAGGACCCTGTGATCATGACCTGAGCTGAGGGCAGACCTTAACCTACTGAGCCACCCAGGTGTCCTGCCCTTTGCTCTTAATAGATGAGAAAACGCGTCCCTTTTCCAAATCCAGTGCTCTTAACCTATACACACTGCCTTTCATTAAGGCCTACATTTCATCTTCTATTTCAGGCATCAGTAAAGTAAAGCCTGTGGGCCAAATATGGCCCACCGCCTGCTTTTGTAAATAAAACTTTATTGTAATACAGCCACACCCATTTGTTTATATATTTTCTGTGCCTGCTTTCTTGCTGCAGGAGAGCTGAGTAGTTATGATAGAGACTGTATGGCTTGCCAAGCCTAAAATGTTGACTCTCTGACCTTTCACAGAAAAAGTGTGCTGACCCTGTTTTGTTAGCTTCTTGGGAATTTGGAGGGAATTCCTAAGTGGGAATTTTATATTCACCAGGGCAAAAATCAGAATAAGCATTTTCTTCAAGGTGAACAAGAGAGAAAACAATTCCTATCTGTTCTGACCCGGTGTTCCTCTCTGGGGTATAAACAGGTTCAGCATCCAAAACCCAAAAGGCCTTACGTAAAAGGCACCTGTGCACCTTGACTGGATCTTCCTTTGGACAGTCAGGACAATTTCCAGGCCAAGTTTTCCTTCTACCGTTTGTCAAACTTTTCCTCCTTTGTGAACACTGGAAGAAAATGATACCCAGCTGAGCAGGAATGTGTGTCCTGTTTTAGGAAGGAGTGAACTTCAAAATTGTGACTGTGGACTTCACTCAGAAGGAAGAGGGCACTTTGAACCCTAATCAGAGGTGTGATCCTAGAGATGTGATCCTAGAGAACTACAGGGACCTGGTCTCTTGGGGTAAGAATTAATGAAATTTGTATATTGAAATGATTCCAACTGATTAAGAGCTGTGGAGTTCAGAGGTCAGGATGATTTTGACCACACATAGATTACATGTGTCCTTTTTATTCCCCAATGAAGATTTAATTTTAATTCATAGAGTAGCAAAGGTACAGCTTCTTGGGTTTGAGCTTGTTCAGTTTTCATAGCTCCTAAAGGCCAAAGACTGGGACCAAATTCTGCAGTGATTTTCTTTTGTCCCCAGCCCAAACACCCCAAGTCCTATATTGGTCCCTATCAGCTTTTCAAACCAGATGCAATCTCCTTGTGGGAGCAAGGGGATGAGTATTAACATTTCCCAACATACATATCCAGGTGAGAAACAGACATTTAGGAATCATTACAGGTATTGAAGGTTAATTTCAGAAATCCCCATAGGGCATACTACATATTTCTCCATCTCCCACTCCTAATGGACTGTATACATTGCCACTTTTTCCAGATGTACTCTCTGTGGTTGACCTAGTAGCCACACAGGCTTCTGCTTCTGAGCTAATCTCCATTCTCTCTCACTTGGAACCATAGGAATCCATCACGCCTTAATAGCTGCTAAGGCATTTAGGGAACCCGGGATATTCTTTTTCTTGGTTCACAAGGTAGTTTGCCCATGTCTTACTGACACATGCTTCCAGAAATTCCTAGAAATGTAGATACTGTTCTCTACTTCAGTGAACATGTGTCTAGCACTAAAGAGGGTAGAAAGGACTCTTTCTACCTGGTGAGAAACAAGGTGATTTTGCTAAGTGTTTTTTGCTTTTTTTTTTTTGCTGAGACTTGCAAAATTGTTATTTTTTTGGTGTTTTTGCTAAGACTTGCAAAATTGTTATTCTGTAGATTCTGCACAGGTGATCTTATTTTGGAATATGGAGATATTTGGCATCTAAAGTCTTTTTATTCAGAAACACTGAATTTTAATATCATTATATTGTTGGGCTGTGTACTTCTCTGCTTACTGCTTCATCCCACCCTTCTGTTTTCTTAATCCAGGTTATAGGTCCATAGCGGAAAACAAATCCGTATATATTCTGCATATTTGTTTGTCAGCTTCTTTCCCAGTATTCTAACTCCTAACATTCTTCAGCTAGAATGTTTTATTTTGCTTTCTTCTAGACTTGGCAGTGGCACTTGGAAGAAGAGAATCAACATCAAAGCAGAACATTTTTGATGATGAACCATCCCGTGGAGTGAAGGTAGAAAGGTTGACAAGAGATGATCCTTGGTTATCTTCGTGTGAAGAAGTTCAGGATTGTAAGGACCAGTTGGAAAAGCAACAGGAAAAACAAGAGAGACTTTTGAAAGAAATGGCATTTACTCACAGGAAAGCGATTACTTATGAGAGAGTCCATAAAAGTGATGAACTTGAAGAGAAAAGTGGTCTGAATTCCAGTCTTCTTTCACCCCAGATGATACCCATAAGAAACCATTTTCATAAACATGCCTCACATGTTAAAAAATTGCATTATAATTCCATTGTAAACACTAATGAGACGATTAATGACAGTGAGAAACTCTGTGAGAATAATGAATGTGGAAACCCTCACCAGAACATTCACCTTATTCAGTTAACAAGAACTCAAACAGAAGATAAATCCTATGGATTTAGTGACAGTATTCAATCTTTTAGCCATGATGTACCCCTAAATATGCATCAGAAAATACACGCAAGAGGAAGATCCTTAGATTTTAAGGAATGTGGGCAAGTTTTGAACCACAGTATATCCCGTAATGAACAACAGAGAATACCTGTTGAAGAGAGTCAATATAACTGTAGTCAAACCTCCCAGAGTTCATCTCTTGCTCAAAACATGAGAAACCATTCTGAAGAGAAACCCTTTGAATGTAATCAGTGTGGGAAATCCTTCAGCTGGAGTTCTCATCTTGTTGCACATCAGAGAACTCACACCGGGGAGAAACCTTATGAATGTAACGAGTGTGGGAAATCCTTTAGCCGGAGTTCTCACCTTGTTTCTCACCAGAGAACTCATACTGGAGAGAAACCTTACAGATGTAATCAGTGTGGGAAATCTTTTAGCCAGAGCTATGTTCTTGTGGTGCATCAGAGAACTCATACTGGAGAGAAGCCCTATGAGTGCAACCAGTGTGGGAAATCCTTCAGGCAGAGCTACAAACTTATTGCCCATCAAAGAACTCACACTGGAGAGAAGCCCTACGAATGCAATCAATGTGGGAAATCCTTTATCCAAAGCTATAAACTTATTGCACATCAAAGAATTCATACTGGAGAGAAGCCCTACGAGTGCAATCAGTGTGGAAAGTCCTTTAGTCAGAGTTACAAACTTGTCGCCCATCAGAGAACTCACACAGGAGAAAAACCCTTTGAATGTAATCAGTGTGGAAAATCCTTCAGCTGGAGCTCTCAGCTTGTTGCACATCAGAGAACTCATACTGGAGAGAAACCCTATGAATGTAATGAGTGTGGAAAATCTTTCAACCGCAGTTCTCACCTTGTTATGCATCAGAGAACTCATACCGGAGAAAAACCCTATGAATGTAACCAGTGTGGGAAGTCCTTTAGCCAGAGTTATGTTCTTGTGGTGCATCAGAGAACTCATACTGGAGAAAAGCCCTATGAGTGCAATCAGTGTGGAAAGTCCTTCAGGCAGAGTTCATGCCTTACTCAACATCAAAGAACTCATACTGGAGAGAAACCTTATGAATGTAATCAGTGTGGGAAAACATTCAGCTTAAGTGCTCGACTTATTGTACATCAAAGAACTCATACTGGAGAAAAGCCCTTTACATGTCATCAGTGTGGGAAGGCTTTCATTAATAGTTCTAAACTTATTAGGCATCAGGCAACTCATACTGAGGAGAAACCCTATGAATGTAACTAGTTTGGAAATCTTTCAGCCAGAGTATATTTCTTTTTTTTTTTCTTTTCCTTTTTCTTGCGTTTCTTTCTCCTTTCTTCCTTCTTTCTTTTCCTTCTTTCTTTTTTTCTTTTCTCCTCTTTTCTTTCAAATGTTAACCTTCTGTTATTGTGTATCTGGAAGTTCGTTCTGGAGAAGAAAGAAGAACAATGAATCACATATTTACTTCAACAATTTTGTATTAAAAAATCAAACTTGGCCCCTATGACACATTGCCACATAAGTAATAAATATTGGCACTTTTCCTTGCAGAAAGCACTCTGACCGGAATCTGAGGAAATTACCATGAAATGGACAACTTACTGTGGAGTGATTGCGAGTGAGGTAGACCTCTTTAACAATAAAGAGTGAGAATGCAAACGCTGGTGGGCTTGTTGAGAAGATGGGAAAATTGCTATAGTTGTTGGAACCTAGGCCGGGAAACGGTATTTCAGTACCATTTTATGACATGATTTCCCCAGTAGCTACTTTGTAATCTGTTTTATTCAGCACTTTCTATTATACGTGAAGATTTCATAAAGATAGGAAAATGGCTATGATATGAAGTGGAAAAAAAAAAAAAAAACGCAGGCCAAGAGTATAGAACGGCAATTTCCAGAACCATTGTGATACTTGTGTATGGATCAGAATTGAAAGGGTTTCTGGGTGTATCTATTTGATTTTTAGGTTTATGCCTGGCTTTCTCTTTTGGAATGTGTGCTGTTTTACTAGAGTAAGTAATATGAGAAGTAAAAATTAGACAAAAACAAAAACTAAACCAAAGACTTCCATCTTTGACCATTTAGGAAAGACTAGGTTGCTAGATAAGAGATCCCTCAGGGTTCTGAGATTTCCATTTGGATTAGTTTGAGTAGGTCACTCCTTCGGACCTGGATTCCCAGGGATTTTCCTCATTGAAAATATTTCCCTGAGAATGGGGAACTTGAAATTTAGGCCAGAAGGGGTTCTATATGAGAGATTGAGAATATGCAGGCTGTGTAGAGAGCATATTTTTATATTTACAAAGTAGTACAAAGGAGCTCTATTTTTAAGGGTCTGCCTTCCCCCATGTAGTCTTTTTTTTCCCCCCCTCTGGAATATGTTTCCTAATGTGAGAGTTTTCTGAGTGAGAGAGCATTGTCATGGCTAAGTGCTCATCACCTAAATTAAGCTTTTAAGAATGATTTTAGGTAAGATTTGTAGCTATTTGTTGGTTTCTAGGATGCGGCTCATATGTCTTTCTGGCCTTTGCCCCTAAATCATAAATTCTAATCCTATGGATTATCACGGACCTGAAACCTCTGATCCTAGAGAGGTAATAAAAAGTAAGCTCAGAGCTGAAATGGGAGACCAGAGAACAGAGCTGAATTCCCTGGAGGAAGAAAGAGAAACCAAAAGTGACATCTGGGGGCACCTGGGTGGCTCAGTCGGTTAAGCGGCTGCCTTTGGCTCAGGTCATGATCCCAGTGTCCTGGGATTGAGCCCCGCATCGGGCTCCCTGCTCGGCAGAGAGCCTGCTTCTCCCTTTCCCTCTGCCTGCCGCTCTGCCTACTTGTGCTCCCTCTCTGTCAAAATAAATAAAAATTTTAAAAAAATCTTAAAGAAAAAAAAGTGACATCTGATAGTGGTCACCCTCAGTAAAATTCTGTCCCCATGAGATGACCTTAAGAGGAGCCATCTCTCTGAGGATTAAGCCAGAGTACAGCACACATGGCAGTGATCAAATTTCTGGGGAACAGTTACTGATGGCTGAAAACTAGCTCCACACACACCCTGAGACATCTTCAGTCAGTCGATGAATGCACAGATAGACAAATAGCAGGGTTCTCCGTGCATTGTCTTGGGGAAGACATAAAGTGGTGAAAAGTCCTAATTTTGCAACGGGACCTGAATAGGCTTCTTCCCCTCCCCCCAAATTATAGATAAAACCAATACCAGTGGGGCGCCTGGGTGGCTCAGTCGTTAAGCATCTGCCTTTGGCTCAGGTCATGATCCCAGGGTCCTGGGAACGAGCCCCACATCAGGCTCCCTGCTTGGTGGGAAGCCTGCTTCTCCCTCTCCCACTCCCCCTGCTTGTGTTCCCTCTCTCACTGTCTCTCTCTGTCAAATAAATAAATAAAATCTTTAAAAAAAAACACAACAATACCAGTGCTAGGATGATTTTCATTGGGCATGTTGAATCTTACTTTGAAGGCAAGAAGCCGTGATTGTACAAATGAGTATAAAGCCAACTGGGTGAAGAATGAGGCCACTGAATATTTCAAGTTTGGGAAGTGATTTATTGCAAAGTAATCTCTTCAGTAAACATTGAAAATATTTCATTGAAAGTGAAATTTTTAAAACTGCAAAATTTTTGAAGCATGTGTGTATTTCTGGCCAGCTTGAATATGTAAGTCTGTGTGCACTACGTCATAAATATTATATCAGTTTCTGAGTGGGGATTAAGATTGCCAAGTGCACTGAAATAAGATAGATTCAATTAATAAACAAAAATGTTAATTTATATTATTTGCTCAAAAATTTCCCTTGTAGGAAAAATACTCTTAATTTAAAAATAGTTGACCAAAAATTCCTGTATCAATAATAAGTTTAAGGCATGTGACAACATGCCAAAGATATGTAATTAAACTTCTGAACCTAAAATTTAAGGTTAAAAAGGGGACTCGATAGCTTGATTTTAATGACATATGTATGGCGTATATATGTGTGTGTGTCTGTGTGTGTGTATGTATAATGACACATGTCCCTTGCATAAACATTTTTTTGTCTGTGTAAAATCCACAAAAATAAAGCTGTACTTTGCCATGGAAGAATTTATAGTGATTTTACAAACCAAATTTCTTTCACCATACTCCAGTAAAATTAGAAATAAATGGAAAGTGACCAAAATGTTTTTAACTACCTAGATGTTAGGAAATACTCTCCTAGAACCAATTTTTCATTTCCCCAGGGTTCCTGAGATATGGTTGACATACGGCACTGTGTAAGTTTAGGGTATACAGCCTGACTTGATTTACATATAGTGTGAAATGGTTATCACAGTTAACATTCATCATTTCATATAGAGACAGAACCATGGGGTTTTTTGTTTTCCCTGCTGATGAGAACCCTTAAGATTTACTCTCTAGCAACTTTCAAATATACCATGTAGCAGTGTTAACTATAGTTATGTGTCCTCTCACACTCCTCAGCTTTTACTGCTTTTGTACTCTCCCCACCTAATTTTGTGGTTTGATGTTTCAGCTTACTTCTAGGCTTGAAAAGATAAATGTGTTTTATTGTTTTTTGATTTTTTTTTTTTTGAGAGATTTCAGCTAGGAGAGGGGAGACTCAGATTTTTAAATACTGTTTTCAGATACACTTTTGTATTTTTAAATTTCATTTGGATTTTGCGCTCAATCAATAGCATCTATTCTGTGTGTCTTACTTAACATACCTGACAAGACCAGTTAAATTACCTATGCCTTTAGAACTTTATCTTGAAAAATAAGTATTTTTTTTTCCAGTTTGTTGACAGAGGTTGCCCCCGGACTGTTTCACTGTAGAAGACTCAATGGATCACATCAGTGAATAGCACATTATTCTTTACAAATTGTAGCAACCTGGGTTCTTAGTTGGGAAGCACGTGAGCCAACGCTAGCCAATTGATTCAGAAAAAGGAGTTTATTGAATGGATATTAGGTGGGTCCAAGAATTGGCAAGAAGCGGTAAGATCATGTCCAGGGATTTATAGAAACAATTGCCAGACTTATGCTGTGGAGCCCTATGAGAGTTCCTTAACGTTCCCATTAATTTTCTTAATATATCTCTACATTGATTTATTTTGATTCCAAGTCTGAGGTGAGTGTCTAGGTCTGGTGGATCCTAAGCTGTGCCTGTATCTGAGCTATGTGGTAGTTTGAGAATTAGAGGCACTGGCCCTTGTATTTCCTGGAGTCTGTAGTGGTAGGTGAACTTGACCTTCCACTCATGCTAATTAAGTAGAGAATTCGTCATTTGTAGAATTTTGTTCATTTGCAAAGCAGCAGCAAAGAAAATTTCCAGTATAGCCCTCTCTTCTGCCTAACCCATAAGTCAACATTTTCTTCACCTTCTGCACTTTGATTTGAATATGTATATAGAGCCTCCTATGTAACATAATACAGCTATCGCTCTTAAAATCAAAGACATGCTCACTCTCTTCCCCATGTAGGGCTAACCTAGAGCTTCACATCATTACAACCACTTCTAAGTCTGGGATCTCTGGGTGATGTCCATTCGTTTTCTAGTGAAAAAATTGTCATGTAAAAAGAGGGTTCAGATGCTGGGAATGAGAAAGGGAGAGAGATCATAAAACGAGGTCAAATTAGCAAGCTAATATTAAGTAACTTTGGTTGTTGCCAGTAGAGAGTCAAAAGCTCTAAAACTTTTTTGTAAAACTAGGAACAAGTCCCCAGTGACAGTTTTTACTGCTTAGGTTAATTTAATCCTTACTTGGATTAGCTTGAGGTGTAACCAAATTAATGAATTTTATAGATTTTGCTGTAAAAATAGTACTGTTCCCTTTAAAATGTCGATGTTGGCATTTGCCAAGCAGATGTTCATGTTGAAACAGTAAAGTTGGATTTTCTGTCTTATCGCCAATGTGGTATTGATTTGTGGTCCACTGAGGATGGTATTTAGGTGGAAATGGGTTAGTGATTGATAAACCTTTCTGTACTAATATCACGTGTCTGGACTCTTTAACAACTTTTATGTTCTATTGAATGAATGTTCATTCTGAGGTCATGACAATTTTCATGATCATTTCCTCAGTCCTTCAGGGAGCATTCCTCGAATTTAGATGTTGGATCAAGTTCTTGAAATTTGGATATTTGCTTGGATGTTGTTCCTTTTTCTTGCCCAGGTTCTACTGTCATTCGCTGACAGTGTTTGTTCAGGTCTGGATTTTTGATACCTCTGCCTTTGGTTCATCGCAGATCAGACAGGTTCCTGAATCTTCTGACTATAAACTCTTTTTCTTGTTTTCTATTTGGTTTGTCCACATTTTCCTCCACCATTACTCACTTTCTGAACCGACAAGGACCACGCTACTCCTATGGGACATTTTGTGGCAGGCTGGAACTTTCTATGGGTGTAAGTACATGATTTTTCTGTACTTTTGAAAAACCTTAAGGACATGCCAGTAACCTGAATTGGCTATTTTTTAAATGGAAGTATAATTAACATACAAAGTTACATTAGTTTCAGGTGTACAGCATATTGATGAGATAATTCTATACATTATTCAATGCTCATCGTAAGTGTAGTCACCACCTGTCACTATACAATGTAAAATAGTAATAATATGTGATATGATCATAAGTGGAATGTGCTGAAATTTTAGTAGCGGGGATTAG